CGGGTTGAAACCATGAATCGTTCAGTGTTAGACCATCACCATTAGAAGAAACCTGGAAGCACTGAACGATGGCCATTTCGTCCTGGTATGGGACTCCTCAGTGACAGTGCGTATCCACGACTCCTGCACCCCGCAGGATTCGAACTCAGGACCTTCGGTATTGTGCGCGAACGCCCTAACCGTTAGACCACCACTGAGCTTTCAGGTTTCTAATGGTGATGGTCTAACATTGATCAATTCATGGTTTCAAAAAATGTGTACGATTTATAACAAATTTTCGATGTTTTAATAGTTGAAAATGTATGCAATGTTTAGTAGAAAAATGTTATCAATTAGTGGAAACATTCGAGAAATCATGTGTACAAACGACTACTATTCTCCTATCTTATTGTGTTAAAATAAATAATAATGTGGAAACTTTATAGCAGAAGCAAATAATTTGTTTTGTCAGATTTCCATTTATATATGCCTGAGAAGACTGAGGCAGGCGAGGAAGATTGTATTGTGCAAATTAACAGTCTGAGTCAATTAAAAACAAAAACATTACATTGAACACTCTATTTGCACACCATCGTTGAGTCGTGAGTTCCAACGCTCCATCCTTCTTCCATTCCTGTTGGTACTACTCCATTTACTTTTCGCTTTCCGTTTTCCTCTTCTGGCCGTGAGATTTCTTCTTTCACATCCCTTCTTATACTACTTATATCGTTCGTATAAGTAGCACACACACCACATGCCTATTACCTGACCTGAATGAACTATGATGATGGGTTATTTATTAACTCAAAATATCATACATATCTAGCTAGGTCTTATATGCATAAATAACTCTAAATTTCATTTCATTAGTAAGTAGTAATAACATCGTGCAAAATTGAATACATAAAGTTATATAGATAGATCGATAGATAGACAAACAGATCGTTGGTCCTAGTGGAAGAAATTTAAGCAGAACAATAAACATAAGTGTTTGTTGTATTGTATTGTATTGTACTGTAGTATTCATTCTACCATTATAAAAATAGAGTTTCCATAAACTGTGAGGAAAGATGTTGACAAAAATAATTGATCACATGAAAAAATGATCAGAGAAAAAAAATGAACAAAGAACAATAAAAGAACAAAAAGATTGAAAAAAAACACAGAGTAAACCCATCTCCTTGATTGAGACGAGCATATATGTATATTTAGATTATTTCTACAATTGTATAATCAACAAGTAGGATCAACCTATAATTTTAATAAATTACGGGTTATTTTTCCAGCGACGACTCAGATATTGTCATGTTTTGATGAGGATGATTAGATCAATAGAAAGGTATATATATAGACATAAATGATTAATTCCTCGTTCTATTTGTTAAGTTTAAATATTGACCGTGATTCGAATTCCTAACACTAGTCCTAACTCTTAAATGAATTAATTGCATTTAGGTCAATCGCATTCTGATTGGCTATATTTTTTCAAGGTCATCTCACGAGAATCGGTCAGCCAAATAGAATTTAAAAAAGGAAATGATCTTTGATCCTATGCCGTGAACAGTATTTTGTAAAAAAAAAAAACTGCAGTGACGTTCACGTGAAAAGTTTTTCGATAGATCTATTACGAAACTGTTAGTAAATAAATATCAAACGATTGAGAAATAAACTGTTGTTCAATCTGATTTTGATTACATTGGCTGGCAATCGAGTGTAAAAGTACAAAACACTGATGACCTTCAGCATCCTATCAACCAATGAGAAAGCACTCACTGCCTAGTTATAAAATAAATAATCTCAACTTATTCATTTTAGTAGAAGGAAAAGGTCAGATCAGTCTTACAGGTTAGGGTTATCACTGACTGACTACACAGAGTTTTCGTGACCAGTTGTTAGGTATTGAAAATGAAGATTGAATTTCAATTTTGGTTTTTTCAGATTACAGTTACAGTTTTCACCACAAAATGGCAACATATAGGATAAAATGATTTGTTATGATACTGTTTACAAGCTTAAGAGATTTATAGCTGATATATAGGGTGAGTTAGAGCTAACTTACCAAGCATTTATAACAACAAACAGAATCACTACAAGGGCTTTAACATATGATTTGTTTTGAGAGTAGTTGTATTGTAATTTAGCGTAGGCATCAGTCAGTCAGTCAGATGCAACGTAGAACTTCGTACATAAGTACATCAGTTCATGTTGCCATACCACATCAACACAGAGATATAATTGTCAATTCAAATCCAATAGTAGTAGAGGTAGTAAGGGAATTAGAAGTAATCGGAGAGGTTAGGGTTAGAAGATACTATTCAAGAAGTATGATTCAGTGAGAAAAGATTATAAAGACCGAACGGTAGGGGTTGGAGAATCCAGAAGATTAGGATTTGATAGAACACAGAGAATAAATGCACCGGCGCCATTGCGAACGATTATGAGCCATGTCATTCAAGGTCTCTAACCATCGATGATTATCATCTCGCGGACCCCAACCAGGTAGTCGACAATTACCGACATGGCTAAGTCCACTCGTCAATGACTTCATCATCATCTTAAATTCACTTGTCGGTTTCAAAAAAGGAATTCTTATTGATTTCACAAATTATACTCCGTTAACACGGACATACAAGTTATCTATTGCTACATTTTAAATTCTTTTGCAAAATCTGTGGGGCGCTATTTTAATTCTGATTGACCAGTCTACAACGATGAAGGAACAGTTATTCAGTTCTGTTAGACTTTCGACGGTGACACTAAATGATAAAATCAATCTTTTTATTACAACTTAGAAAAATTTACGAATTATATTACAGCAGCTAATTAAGTGAATGAATCCCCCTTCACGACTTCTTATTCATGTTTGTATAGTATCACCAACCGAATCACACTTGAAGCAGAAGCCTTGGAAGATGCAAAGATCTTTACATATCTGGGAAGCATCATTGATGAACATGGTGGATCTGAAGCAGATGTGAAAGCGCAGATTAGTAAATCAAAGGCAGCATTTCTACAATCGAAGAACATCTCCAACTCAAAACAACTATCAACCAACACTAAAGTCATAATTTTCAATACAAACGTCAAGACAGTTCCACAGTATAGGGCAAAAACTTGGAGAACTACTAAAGCCATCATCCAGAAGATAAAAGTATTTATTAACTGTTTTCTACACAAAATACTTCGGATTCGTTGGCCAGACACCATCAGCAACAACCTATTGTAGAGAAGAGCAAACCAGATTCCACATGAGTACGAAATGAGGAGAGGGGGCTTGAAATGAATAAGATATACATTGAAGAAAGCATCCAACTGCGTCACAAGACGACTCCTCACTTGAAACCATCGAAGTCGACTGGAAAGAGGAAGATCAAGGAACACATTACACAGAGGAATGGAGACAGACATGAGAAGAATGAACAATTGAATAGAACTAGAAAGGAAGGTGGTGAGAGGGAGTAAGTTGGAGAATGTTGGTCGGTGGCCTATGCTCCATTTTGGGGTAACAGGCAAAAGTAAGTAAATATTGAGTTACGATTCATCAAATAAAGTTGGCACAATTGTCTACTCCACTGCACTTTTTTAGAACCCATTTTCATGTTTCTCTGTGTAAACGAATGCTTGAAATAAAAATCCACCTAATGTAATCCAATATTTGGGTGATTGTTACCACTATCTCTCAGAGAGGATTAGCCTAAGTGTATAAATACACGGTTTAAAACCGAAGAAATATATATATTTTTATATATATGTCCATGGTATAAACACATTCGTTTGTCCAAATTTGGTTCAGATTATATGAGTAACAGACAGACAGACAGACAGATACAACGCAGAACTTCGTACGTATGTACACCAGTTCAAGTTGCCATACCAAATTAGCGCTGAGACGTTACTGTTAGTTCAAATCCGATAGTGGTAGAGGTAGTAGATGTATTAGCAGTAATGGAGAAGATTAGGGTATAATTTAGTGAGGTAAATTTAGGAAGAGAAAGATAGAGATGACTTCAGAAGGTTAGAATTTGAGAGAACATAAAGGGTGGATGCACCTGCGCCATTGCAAACGATTTTGAGCCAGCCATGTCGTTCAAGGTCTCTAACCATTGGTGACTTTCGTCTCGCGGACCTCAACCAGGAAGTCTACATCTACCAACATGACTCAGTCCATTTGTCAATGATTTCATAGATTTGTGACATGTTTTGGCTTGGCCGCCCCTAGCTTTCTGCTAACCTATTCCTACACCACAAACCAGCCCGTCGAGGCAGTCGGTGGCATACATAACACGTTCCAACCACCTCAACTGATGAAGTTTCAATACTTTATCTGTTGATTTGCCATCCCTGCTTAGTACTTGTTTCCTAACCATAGCATTACTTCCTCGGTCGTTCCAGGACATATGAGCAATGCTTCGGAGACACTGATGATTGAAAACAAGCAATCTACGAATGTCCTCTAATCTCACCAGCCATGTTTCGCATCCGTATAGTAACACGGTGCAATGGAGAAGATTAGGGCGTAATTCAGTGAGATAAAGTTATAAAGAGAAAGATAGAAATGAAGAGAAATTCAGAAGGTTAGAATTTGACAGAACACAAAGAGTGGATGCACTTGCGCCAATGAAAACGATTGTGTGAGCCATGTCGTTTTCAAAGTCTCTAACCATTGGTGACTTTCGTCTCGCGGACTACAACCAAGTAGCCTACATCTACCAATATGGGTAACAAAAGACGTAATCAGAAATAAAAAAAAATGAGTACAAACTTATGAATTCGCATGCATTCGGAGAAGAAGAAGAAGCATTCACCGTTTTTTCTCCTAACTAACTTTATTCTTGCTTTATATATATAGAAAATCAAGTTTATTCAAATCTCATAGAGTATACTCTTACAAAATAAATATCAAACAGTTAGTTCACTAAATAATCTATTTGTTTGAAAGCACAAGAATTAAAATATGACTTTCCTTTTACTTATCATTACAATGCAAAACATCATCTTCATTTTAAAAAAATCAAACTCACGGGAGACAATCTTCCGCCTCATAGTTTGGTTTAATTGGAGTTGGCCGTTTTTGAACACGATTCACTTCCATATGTAGACCTTCTAATACATAACGTAAGAATTCTTGTGAATCTTGTTGACTATAAAAGAAAAACCAAAGTATTAGTATACAGAAAAAAACAAACGCTTTTCACTACTACTACGGATCGATCAATCAATCAATCAATAGTAATAGTAGTGTGGTGTGAGCTACTTATAAGTAGTAGTATATGACGTGAGTGTCAACGTAATGTCTGGCAACAGAAGATGGGGGGGGAGTGAAATCAAGAAAGGAAGAGTTAGAACACAATGGAATTTGTATGAAACGCATGAATAGTGACAATGGATTGATATTTTGCAACAGGAACAGCCCAGTTAGACATGATGGACTGATATTTTGGCAAATTAACGATTTACGATATGGTTTTCCGATTTTACTGATTAACTCTGTAGTTTGAGATTAATACAATTCGGTTGCCCTCACCTGTGTTATCGTTCACTACAATAGGACTTCGTACGTACGTACGTACGCATATCAGTTCAAGTTGTCATACCACATTAGCATGCAGAGATGTACGTGTCAGTTCATATCCAATAGTAGTAGAGGTAGTAAAAGTATTAGCAGTAATCGGAGAGATTACGATTAGAAGATATGTGATTCAAGAAGTAGAATCTAGTGAAATAAACTTAAAAAGAGAAAGATAGAGGTGGTGAGGAATTAAAAAAAAAGTTTAGGATTTGAGAGAACACAACAAAAGTGAATGCACTTGCGCGTCATTACATACTAATAATGATGAAATAATGATCAGATTAGATAAATGGAAAATTCTCAAACTCTCTCACCAATGTACTACTATTTATAGAAAATAGTACACTAGATAAAAATGTGTAGTGTACAAGATGGGAATTTTGAAAGTTTGATAAAAAAAAAGAAAAATGCTTGGTAAAAATAATTTTCATCATGTTGGTTAGATACAAGCAGATTGCTCTACATTGTATCAGTGCAGCCATATGAAATTACCAAGCTAAATGAGAATGCCTAGACAGTAGTAACATCATGTTCATGATAATTAGACTATTAAGTTTTTTTTTAAGCCGTTAGGTTGTAGATTCGATCTATTTCATATAACTACTGTTCTTAGCCAGCATCATCGACGAGAAAGGTGGATCCGATGCAGCACATGTGAGGGTGCGGATTGGCAAAGCAAGGGCTGTGTTTCTACATACAGTTGAAAAATATCTGGAACTCCAAACAACTTTCAACCTAGAAACCAAAATCAGGATTTTCAATAGAAATGTGAAGACAGTTCTACTGTATGGATCGGAAACTTGGACAACTACGAAAGGCATCATCCAGAAGATACAAGTGTTTATTAACAGTTGTCTACGCAAAATACTTCGTATTCGTTGACCAGGCACCATCAGCAACAACGTACTGTGGGAGAGAACAAACCAGGTTGCAGTGGAGGAGGAAATGAGGAAGAAGCAGTGGAAGTGGCTAGGACACACATTGCGGAAAGCACCAAAATGCGTCACGAGACAAGTCCTCACATGGAACCCTCAAGGCAAAAGGAATCGTGGAAGGCCAAAGAACACGTTACGCCGAGAAATAGAGAAAGATATGAGAGGAATGAACTGGACAACACCAAACATTATTGAAATATCCTCAGCAAAATGCATGCATAATTCCATCAGGAATTCAATTTAGTAGAACCTTCCAAACTTCATAGTGAGCGCTTCAATTTTACACCAATCGAACGTTTACTTTCAGCAGTTTATGATATACTGCTTAACCATCATCCATTACTATAAGTGTAGTGTGTTTTTGAAGCCCAACATTGTCGCACTCCACTCACTATATATAGCTTCTTCCCAGTTCTCTTTCTTATGTTTCCAAATGTTGACTAACCAACGGATGGTGGTTAACAGCTTATGAGAAAGTCAAAAATACCCGTAAATTAACCAACAAATCAAGTCGTCCATTAGATAGACAGATAGATTATTCAAGAAAATACATTTACAGACTGAAAATTACGATCGAAACAATGATTGCATAACCTGTCGTTAACAAAAAAAGAGCTAGTTAGTCAATTATAACATAGGAGCTATTTACGAGTGATCTATCGTATACCTCAATCATTTCCCAACGGAGTTCCATCCCGTCTCCTACACATAACAGCAGCCATAGGAATACGTACATTCAACCGCAATTTATGTGTTCAGAAGAAATTCGTGACACCTCTATTTCTTCCGCGGCCGGATATCACGTAACTAACGATTGACATTATTTTTTTTACTTATTATTTTTAACACATTTGCTTATTACGTAATGGTTTTGATGTTTTTTGATGATTATTTGAAGTCTATTCATCCACCATTGACCTAGTATTGATAAACCTTTAGTTATCATATTTTATAATTTTCTTACTACTATCAGTACACCTATCTTCCTACCATCCATTTGTAATTTTCCTTATTATATGTAGTGACGTAATCTCTATTTCATTTCATTGTGATTATCACTCAAATTGCCTTGATTGATTTCACATTTTCATACATAAATATTCATGTATATTAGCGAGTAAAGCAGCCTGATGACGATCTAATCGAAAATAACAACAATTATTGTTCGCTTATATGTGTTGTTCTAATTTACAAATGTGTGTATTGTATCATTCCAACATTGTCAAGTTTGATTTCAGGTATAGCGAGTCAAAAAACAAACAAACAGAAAACAGGAAATTACACGAAAAAATGTAATTTGAAATGAACCAATCAAATTGGGGGGGGAGGCGGGGAATAGAATTTCAGGAAAACTAAAAAATCAATTAAAAAAATCCACGTATGCAATCGATTTCAATCAAGGCTACGCATATCATCATTCACCTCATTCCTCTATTATAATCACAATACTCTATCAAGTTTTGAAAGTTTGTACATACACTTGTAATTCAATTTCATGTTGTAAACATATATAAACGTATTAATCATAAATGATGAAATAACATATACGTTATATATATTAGAAACATACGAATATCCCATAAAACGTGGAGCAAATCGTTGAATTTGACTTTTAAATCGACTTGGACTAGTGGATGAATTGGTCATATCCGGATCCCAAATTTCTTTCATTAAATCAGCATATGCTTTTTTGGATAAAAATGGAGTTAGAGAAAAATAAAGAAGAAAAAAAATGAACCAGCCAGTACTGTTTTTTATACAATTGATATCATCAATCAATCATTGTTAGACCACCATTAGAAGAAACATGGAAGCACTGAAAGACGGCCGCTTCGTCCTGGTATGGGACTCATCAGTGGCAGTGCGCATCCTATGACTCCTGCTCCTCGCAGGATTCGAACCCGGCACCTTCGGCATTGTAGGCGAACGCCTTACCATCGGACCACTGGGCCGGCACTCAACGGTGTTAATGTCTAACTCTGATTGATGGTAAGGCGTTCGCCTACAATGCCAACGGTCCCGGGTTCGAATCCTGCGAGGAGCAGGAGTCGTGGATGCGCACTGCTGAGGAGTCCCATACTAGGACGAAACGGCCGTCCAGTGCTTCCATGTTTCTTCTAATAGTGGTCTAACAATGATTGATTGATGATTTCAAATGTGTAAAAAAAACGCAAACCTCCAAAACTCTGCCCCAAAATATCAATAAATAGTCAATTCATTAGCATAGGTCAAATGTTTTACAATGAACAGTTTCACATTGAAAACATTTTTTTTGTAAAAAGACGAATAATAGAGAGAGAAATAAGAAAAAGGAATTTTTTCCTCTTTTATTCTTTTCAAAAATAAACGAACATAATAAATAATATTGATGCCGAAAAAAAGGTCAGTAGGCTAGAAAACATTTTTTTTTCAAATGATGACAATAAGACAGACTGACAGATAAGTTTATCGATTCACTGGACACTTCTTATATTTTGGTGGCCCACGATACAACGATCTGACTTTATAATTTGTACGAACCAATTGAATTTACAATGAAATTATTCTTCTCTCTCTTTAATTTCCATAGATTATATTATACATTTACGTCACGTCAATACTGTGTTGTGTGTGACATAGGTGGTAGTGGAGAAGTTCAATAAGGGGTTTTTATAGTTGGATGAATTCATTTCATACACTCGCCGTATTCAGGACAAAATATATAAGGTCAATTCTATGTGTTGATGATGACACAATAAGAAATTAGACATAATATATATGATAAGTGAAGTAACTAATGCACAGTACAAAACTAAACTAAATAAAAAAAATACAGTCAAGGTCATTATTAGCGAGGGGGGCCAAAGGAAAAGAGGAAGATCAAAAAAACAAAGATCATATTACGCCGAGATAGGCGGACAGATATGCGAAGAATGAACAGAGCAGAATGGACAGAACTAGAAAGGAAGGTGCAGCAGGACAGAGTAGGGTTTGAGAATGCTGGTCGGTGGCCTATGCTCCATTGGGGGTAACAAGTGTAAATAAGTAAGTAAGTAACTAACTAAATAAGGTCATTAGCAAGCAAACAATTAACAAGGTCACAAAAGACTCGATCAGAATAGATTCATTTGTTTGTTTTGGAGGGTAGGGCCACAAACCTTGTAGACTCGACCTATTAATACACACACACACACACACTACAACTAAGTAATCAAGTAATCAAGTTAAGTATATCTGGTATTTTACAAAAGTATTAGAGTTGCAAGCATAATTTTTGACAAAAAAAATAGCCTACATATCTTCTCATACATCTGTGTGAAGTTTTGTCACCATTTTATCCAACTTAAGGACTAACATCTATAACTTACTTACTTACTTACTTACGCCTGTTACCCCCAATGGAGCATAGGCCGCCCATCAGTTTTCTCCAACCCTACTCTGTCCTGCTGCACCTTCCTTTCCAGTTCTGTCCAATGTTTGTTCATTCCTCTCATATCTTTCTCTATTTCTCGGTGTAATGTGTTCCTTGACCTTCCTCTTTTCCTTTTGCCTTGAGGGTTCGAAGTGAGGGCTTGTCTTGTGACGCAGTTAGGTGCTTTTCGTAGTGTGTGTCCTATCCACTTTCACCGCTTCTTCCTGATTTCATCATCCACTGGAATCTGGTTTGCTCTCTCCCACAGTACGTTGTTGCTGATGGTGTCTGGCCAACAAATCCGAAGTATTTTGCGTAGACAGCTGTTAATAAACACTTGTATCTTCTGGATGATGCCTCTCGTAGTTCTCCATGTTTCCGCTCCATACAGTAGAACTGTCTTCACATTTGTATTGAAAATCCTGAAATTTTGGTTTTAGTCGAAAGTTGTTTGGAGTTCCAGATATTTTTCAACTGTATGTAGAAACACAGCCCTTGCTTTGCCAATCCGCGCCCTCACATGTGCTGCATCGGATCCACCTTTCTAGTCGATGGTGCTGTCCAGATATGTAAAGGTGTCAACGTCGTCGTCCTCCTCCAAGGCATCACCACCATCACAGTGTGATTTGGTTAGTGCAACTAACATCTATCTATAAACCAATACAATTTATTTTTTTGTCATCATTGAAAATAGTCACCGAAAGAAGAAGAAAAAAATTTCCAATTCAACTACACCTTACATTGAAATAACATTCCATTCATTGAACTTGATTTATTGATATCTTTTAAATAACGATCCTCCAAACAATATTCCGTCAGAGGAGCTGTATTACTTAAACACTGAAGGATTGAATTCATGAAACACTGAAAAAATTGTCAAGAAGAAGAAAAGGAAATAATGTTAATTTTTTGAATGAATGAATGAAAGAATTCATTCACTCTGTATGATGATAAATAGCAAATCGATATAATAATAATAATAACAATAATAATAATAATAATAATAGTAATAAATGTCCGCCTCTTTTGGACATGTATCTTATACATTATTTATGATAAAAAGCGAATTACCTGTTATAAAAAAATTACAGGGAAACATTTAGTTACTGTTTTTGAAACCATGAATCGATCAGTGTTAGACCACCATTAGAAGATACCTGGAAGCACTAGACGGCTGTTTCGTCCTGGTATGAGACTCATCAGTGGCAGTGCGCGTCCACGACTCCTGCACCCCATACCAGGACGAAACAGCCGTCCAGTGCTTCCAGGTTTCTAATGGTGGTCTAACATGGATCGATTCATGGTTTCGAAAATGTGTAACTTAACAATCTTCACAACCACGTAATGCAAAAATTACCTGTGCTCACTAGTGACTAGATTCGTGAGGAATCTTCTCCGAGTTCTAGTGGTGGGAAGACGTGACCACTGTGAAGTTCAACCTGTTCGGGTGTAGGCAGTGTCTACCGAAGATTGTGTATGAGGTTGCGCAACTCCGTGAATTTGATCAAGTTAGACATTAACACCGTTAGATACCGGCTCAATGGTCTAACGGTTAGGGCGTTCGCGCACAATACCGAAGGTCCTGGGTTCGAATCCTGCGGGGTGCAGGAGTCGTGGATACGCACTGCTGAGGAGTCCCATACCGGGACGAAACGGCCTTCCAGTGCTTCCAGGTTTCTAATGCTGGTCTAACATTGATCGATTCATGGTTTCAAAAACTGTGTAACTTAACAATCTTCACAACCCCGTAGTGCAAATTTCACTACTGTGTAGAAAAATTCCTCTGTGATTGTCACAATAGAATGTTTGTCGTTTCCTATGGAGTGGGACAATCAGTGAATGTGATTAGTCAGATGGGATTATGTCCAGTTCCCAGATTTGCTGCTAAAACTGGACTATCATCCTTCAAAATCTCAGGCCGCAACTCATCGAGACCTAGTACTTTCCCTTGCCTCATAGTGCGCCTATAGCCTTTTCAGCCTCATTGAGAGTCGAAGGACTTACATCAAGTTACTATTCATGTTGACTGGACATCGTGGTTAAGTGTGATGTGTGACTGAAGAAGGCCAATTGAACTGATCCCTTAAGGCTTCTGAACATTGTTGATCCAATCTCCTGGATTGGCAATGAATAATAGTCTCATCTTTTTATGAAGTAGTCTCGTGAACAACAACAGTATTCCCAAGACCGGTTTCCTTGATAGATCTGAACAATTGTCTACTGTTACTTATGGTCACTGCCTTTTCCATCTGTTTTACCTTAGTTAGTTAGTCACCACGGTTCGCGATCATTGTGTAGGCTCAAGCTTAAGCTGACTCCTCAATCTGAGTATCGTTTCAAGCTGCCTTGGCATGAGCATCACTTACATGGCTGCTTTACTGTTTTTTTCTAGTTGCTTTCGAAATATACTATTGGCATTTTTTTTATATTGTTAAGCAGAACTCTAGGGAGTTTCCCATTCATACGATTAGGTAATTTAATTTATACCATGGACGCATATATATATTTACATGTAAACAAAGTAACTATTGAACATCAGACTTAAATATATTTTATACTCTTCTAACTGATAATAAATAAGTCTACTGGTCGCTTTAATTGTGTATTGCAAATTAAAACAACAACAACAAAATCAGACAGGGAAAAATAGAGAAAAATTGTGAAATAAACAAACACGAATATATATATAGACAAAAATTGACCAAAAAAAATAACCCGTTGTTATTGTAAACAGATTAAAAAAGAATATATCATGTTAGATATCTTTGCATTAAAAACCACAGCATTGATTTGTGTAGTTAATGATCTAATTTGTCAATTGGAGTTTTATGGTCTTGCCCAGCTTCATCCACTGTCTTTGTTTGAGCACCGCAATACATCCGAAAACAAAGATAAACTCCAACTGATCACGACTTCTAGGCTAAGAACTCTGAGAAACTACGACTTCCTGAAAAAGTTAGTTACTAGGCAGCACATGATTATATAACTCCGTCAGTAGAATCTTAGGGGCTACTGCCGGTCCCAAGCCCGGATAAAGGAGGAGGGTTTATTAACAGTTGTCTACGCAAAATACTTCGAATTTGTTGGATAGACACCAATAGCAACAACTTATTGTGGGAGAGAACAAACCAGATTCCAGTGGATGAGGAGGAAATCAGGAAGAAGCGGTGGGAGTGGATAGGACATACTCTACGAAAAGCACTCAACTGCGTCACGAGACAAGCTCTCACATGGAACCCTCAATGCAAAAGAAAAAGAGGAAGGCCAAGGAACACATTACGCCGAGAAATAGAGAAAGATATGAGAAGAATGAACAAACATTGGACAGAACTGGAGAGGGAAGCTCAGGACAGAGTTGGCTGGAGAAAACTGGTGGGCGGCCAATGCTCCATTGGGGGTAACAGGCGTAAGTAAGTAAGTAAGTAAGTACATGATTATATTCATTGAAGGGTTGTGAAGATTGTTGTGTTACTTTGAAGTCGTAAGAATTGATGACCAGTGGAGTTCAGCCTTGTCTGAGTATGAACCATATAATTTAAAACTGAATAGTATAAATAAAAGATTTGGTTTTATAACCTGAAATATGCGGAACTTTACATCTCAATCACACATTTTCGCTTATGTTGTTATTCAATTTAGAGTTATGAGAAATTGTTATTTTCGATAGAAATAATGAATCCATTATTGTTAGAGCACTAATAGAAAACGGAGAGCAACTGGACATGAGATGGTGGAGAAAACTTGTAGCTCAGCTGGATGATTGTGGTGGTGTTTCGTTCTCTGTTGTGCTGTTGTGCTGTGCTGATGTGATTTGGGAAATTGGGCTGACATATCATTTTAATTGGAGACCCTAAGGTTGACGACTGCAATTGAGATTAATAGTCTACACTAACCATCTGAGTGTATTATGTTCGCACGCAAGACTGAAGCGCACCTGGGTTCGAATTCTGAGAAGTGCAAGAATCATGGATACGCACTGCCACTGACTGATGAGTCAGTCTCATACCAGGGACGAAACAGCCGGCTTTTTTAGTGCTTCCAGGTTTCTTCTAATGCTGATCTAACTAACAATGATTAATTAATTGATGATTTCAAATGTGTTGTAAAATACAATAATCTTCACATAACTCGAGTTGAAAACAAAATAACGACTTTAGTTTTTTTTTTTCTATCGATCAATAAAAACGGATCAAACGATTTCTTCAGTAAAACCAAAAAATAACATTTTCGAAAATCAAGATAACTAACTCTACTTGTCAACAGAGTTCTTTTCTTTGTGTCAAATAAAAAAAAACAAAACGATGCTAACAATAGAAACTATGATCATTGTGTTTTTTTTTTCTGATTGCCAGGAACTTGCGCCAAATTGACTAATCGATTTATAACATTGTTTTTTTTTGGTAATTTTTAGTTAGTCAACATCACAATGAATAATAAATAATTAAAATAACGCGTCGATCGATTTTTTTCTCTCACTACTCAATAACAAACACACCACGATGATGATGATGAATTAGTTAATATATTAGAATTTGAAGAAACAAATTAAGCAATCAGTTTAATTGTATTGAAGTGTAGCATAATCTGACTAGTTAATTATGATGTATCTATTAAAAAACATTCGCCATTTGTTAATTGAACAATGAAATGGTGAATAGATAATTTAAACAAAATAAAAAAGAGAATGAATTCTTGGTATTTTATTGATTTTCGATGTGAAAGAATTTAATATACTAAATTCTTTTTTTTTGTTATGTTGCTTAAGTGCAATAGTTTATAATTGTTGCTTTAAATATATAGTTGAATGATAGATAGTATAGAATGATAGCATTCTAATTGAGAGTAGTTACCTTCACTGAGTATGCATTTCTCTCTCTCTCTCAATAATGAACAGTCGCCTCAAGAGGAGACTTGATAAACATGTACTCATCCATCAGTCAGTCAGTCAGTCAGATGCAACGTAGAACTTCGTACGTAAGTACATCAGTTCATGCTGCCATACCACATCAACACACAGATATAATTGTCAATTCAAATCCAATAGTAGAAGAGTTTAGTAAAGGTATTTTAGAAGTAATCGGTGAGGTTAGGATTAGAAGATATTATTCAAGAAGTATGATTCAGTGAGAAAAGTTTAGAAAGTCAAAATTAGAGGGATTGAAGAATCCATAAGGTTAGGATTTGAGAGAACACAAAGAATAAATGCACCGGCGCCATTGCGAACGATTTTGAGCCATCCATGGATTATGACCATCTCTTGCTTAGATCTGATTGTGTTTTTGGTGTACATCTCATAGCTTGTCTGTTATTAGTATTATTTCTATCTCACTTATTATAATATCAACTGTGTTTTCCTTTTATCCTGACACTTTGATTCACTCACATTGTCTACACTACCAACCAATCAATGCTCTTCTCTTTATTCAACATTAAAAAGTTTTTCCACTAATTATTCCCTACATTGAAACTAACTAACCTTCTCTATCTAGTAATGTTGTGGTGCGAGCTACTTATAAGTAGTAGTATATGACGTGAGTGTCAACGTAATATCTGGCAGCAGAAGATGGGGGGGAAGATCAAGAAAGGACGGGTTAGAAAACAATGGAATTTGTACGAAACGCATGAATAGTAGTGACAGTGGATTGATGTTTTGCAACAGGAACAGTCCAGTTCGATAGGATGAACTGATATTTTGCAAATTAACAATTTACGATATAGTTTTCCGATTTTACTGAGTAACTCTGTAATTTTCGTTAAATGCAAACTGTTTGCCCGACATGTGTTTTCGTTCACTACAATGTGATAGCTGCTGTAATCGAGAAACTCTACTCCTCTGAGATAATGAATTATATAATAAGGCATACAAATTCATAAATTGACAAGTGACTAGAATACTACCCCCATGCATTATTTGACACTTTCAAATACTTGCAATCGTAACTAAAAACAGCTAGAAGTGAGTGCAATAAAATCAATTGGTTTATTATAACAAGCTCGTAACAAGGATATTAGTTAGATATGAGAATTTTGATACATTTGTTGATTGACATTTTTTTTTAAAAAAACAAATTACTCCTTAAAAATAAAACAAATTCTTTAAATCTGCAATTCTATTTTAGAGTTCAAAATATAACTAAAGTTACCTGACTTGTACATAACTAAAGAAAAGCAATAGAATACAATAAATTTAGTCATGGTATTGCACAATTCATGTTAGTCATTGTTTTGTTTCAAGTTATGGCAAGAACTAACTTCTTCCGGAGCTATTCTAGGATTACTGCCGGTCCCAAGCCCGGGAAAGAAGGAGAAAGATTGGATATGGGGTTAGCGACCCCATTGCGTGGTTGTTGTGAAGATTGTTAGGTTTTATTTGTAACCATCAATCGATCAATGTTCGAACATCATTAGAAACCTGGAAGCACTGGACGATGGCCGTTTCGTCCTGGTATGGGACTCATCAGCAGTGCCCATCCACGACTCCTGCACCCCGCACGATTTGAACCCAGGACCTTCGGTATTGTGCGCGAACGACCCAACCGTTAGACCACTGAGCCGGTATCTAACGGTGTTAATGTCTAACTTGATCAAATTCACGGAGTTGCGCAACCTCATACCCTGTATACATCCGAACAGGTTTGAACTTCACTGGTCACGTCTTCCCACTAGAACTCGGAGAAGATTCCTCACCACCCTCAATCCATCTCCTAGAAAAACGAATCGACGGAAAAGGTGCCAACCAGAAAAAATAATTCAAGCTATTTAAACTCTGTGTTGGCAGTTAGGAGGTCTTCACTTGGAAAAGTTATGACGTCTCATAATGAAAGCCGAGCTTCATCGGGAATCACGAGGTCGATGTCCCTTATGACAAACAGAGCAACAATAAATATTGGTATCAATCGGAGAGATTAATTGAGAAAAAATAGTCCTTACTAAGGTGGGTTTTTCTTAATCATCAGTTTGTGCTTCCTCCAAAAAAAGAAAGTCCTACCATAGGAACGTCATAGCATCTGACACCAATACTTCGGATACATTGATCAGACACCATCGGCAAAAACCTACTGTATGATAGAGAAAATAACATTGCAACCGAAGAAGAAATCAAGAAGAAGCCCTGGAAGTGGAAAGAACACATACTCCGGAAAGTACCCAACCGCGTCACAAGACAAGCCCTCACTTGGAATTCTCGAGGCAAAATGAAAAAAGGAAAACTGGAAAGTTATATATATATATATATATATATATATATGTTTGCAACTGTTTGGAGAAATTAACTTTCAGAATCAGGTAATAACCAGAAGTCCTATACTTTCTCTTATATAAACTCATTATACTATTTGTCATTCCCTGGATAAATTAAGAGGTTTTTTTAGAATGGCTAGTATCATTGGCTATTTGAATGTCGAGTTGTAAAGCTTGATTAAATAACTTTTATCTACATAACATTTTATCTTTTATCTGTATTAGACTTTACACAATTAACAATGAAAAGATGGAACTATTTGATCTAAAGTGTAAAATTTTATCTTAGCACTTTACATCATTCTTTTTAAAACATATTTTTGTATATCATATCATAATTACGTTATTTGGTACAGGTTTTGCAATAATTTCTCGATCGTTTTAAAAAGTTTGTGGTGATTAGATTTCACGGATTCACTAGTTAATATAACCTATGATAAGTGTTACCTATGGGCATAACATTGAGATGTTTACACATTTAGTTAATGTCAACTGATACACTCCAGCTCATTGTTTAATAAAAGTTAGGTTTTGAGATGGTGAAGAAAATTTGTAGCTTAGGTGGGTGGATGATTGTGGTGGTGTTTGGTCCTCTGATGAGCTAGATGTTTTGGTTGTGGAGCTTTCATCCATTTTTCTTCTGCTGAACAACAACATCATCAGCACAATCTTCAGATCGAATACTTCACTTCTATCTGAGCTTTGTGCTGATGATGTTGTTCAGCAGAAGAACAATGATGAAAGCTCCACAACCAAAACATCCAGCTCAGAGAACACAAAACACCACCACGAAAGTTAGGTTGCAATAACTTACTTCCTGAAACGAATCTACTTTAAGGTTTTATGTAATTCAGAAGTTTTACATGGAATTATAAGAACTGAAACATCATAAAATGTTTGCTTAGTTCAAAATAAGAATACAGTTGTATGATGGGTCATTTTCAAAGTATATGAAAATTATGATTTATGTTAAATATATAAAAGTATTTGACTTACAGTGTTCCCAAGATTGTTAAGTCCTACAAGTCCACCTCTGTGATATGAGTGACAAGAGTTCACTGGAAGACTAACTTGTTGTGCACGAGGAGAAGGATTAGCTAGTGAAGCATTTAAATGACGTGCAGAATTCTTGCCACTATTGTTGATATTGATTCCTGAAGAGTCCCGTTGATCGATAGACTGTAGACTTTTGACTGAACAATAATCATTGTGGTAACCATTGCACAACTTTTTGCTTGATTCAGTACTTTCATTAAAGTCAAGTTTTGCAAATCGATCATTTAAGCCATTCAACCTATCGCTTACATTGCCACCAAGACTTGATGTGCTGCTATTCCACAAAGTGGAACCTGATTTCTAAAACGAATCATCAGTAGATATGTATTAATGCTAATAGCTGTCGTAAAAATGTAACAAAAATAAGCTTTCAAATACGGTACAGATTTTTACATAGAAATCACATCTTAGGAAGCTTAAGATAATGGTAGGATAATTTTCAAATAATGAACGGCTTTTTTTAACTGTGGACAGGGGCGATTTTCTTCTCAACGACAGACATCATATCACTTTAACCACTGAAACTAATTAAGCTAAGAATAACTAACTGTCTCATGATAGTAACCGTAAATTTGTTCTAAAATAAATAAACTTTGCAACTAAAACATTTGCAAATACTGAAATAAAAAGTGATGTTTTTAGACGACTGAAGGTTTTCACAAACATATTTATCAAAACTGAGAACACTTCCTGTATAAATAAATGAAAAAAGAATCTATATCTGACTTATAAATGAAATGGTACAAAATAGTTAAGATAAATAGAATTTCCTTAAGTTAACAGGCGCTTATTATTTTATAGTGGATTATCAAGAGTTATTCGGAGTATTGCCAGTCATTTTCTGGTTAGCGAGATTCCCTTTTACAGGATAGGGTTGTTAACCCTATGCACAACCCTCCTTTACACGGCATTGAACTCTGAAGGGCTCCAATCAATGCCTAATTAAAACAGAGTTTAACAGAACTGGGAATCTGCACCCAAAGCGAGCCGATGATAAAAAAGTTTAAATAACAGACCCGAAAATTTGGTTAAAGGTAGTCATTAAAAAAGGCATTCACCTAGCTTCGAAAAGTTTACTTGACATGTAAAGTCAAGTCCGTAACTAGCCTTTATATTTTTTAATGATTTTCAACCGGTAAGAACTAGCACATAGGAAATCTATGGATCAGTGTAATATTAGTAAGTCATAGACAACATAGGACTTAGCACAAATGTCCAGTGTTTCACGTTGCTACAATAACTAGACAACAACTACAGCATTATAAATAATATCCACCGCAACAGAAATGAAAAGGTGAGGAATAAGGCTTGGAAAATGGGTGGAATTATAAAGTTAAATATATGAAATGATATTGAACTGAAAGTTTAGAAAATAAATAGATTTATTTAATAGTAACCAACTTTGAAGCATTTATTTTACTGTGGATTAAGGTTATTGCACTAGTTCCAATTAAGATATCCACATGTCACTACATATTCTATACCAGCGGTTGGCGACCTTATTAACTGATACTTCCTCAGTTTGCAGTCACAAAACTTTTCAACTAAACACAGTTACTAGTACTACACGCTGATAAGTCCTTCTACATATTCAACATCCTAGGACAAGTACTTTTCTTCATATTTCCGTAAACTTATCATTACTTCTGATTTCCGAGGTGGTCATAATCTTGCTACCCTAATCACTGCAACTGAACTCATCAACCGAACTGTAATACATGCTAAACTGTCGATGAATTTAACAATTATTCACATAGTATTTTGTTGTAAGAGATTCTCCTTATCGGTAATAATGATTCCAAACACAGCAATCCAACGTATTCAATTCAAAGTTTCAAACATTTACTGAATGTAGTCTTATGTTCAGTATTTATCTCAGAAAAAGCAAAATTTTATAGGATTCGTACTTTTAATTATCAGAACATTAAGATAGACTTGAAAATGAGTTAACTTACAGGTCCCAAACTGATGGCAGATCTATGGTAAGTAGGCGGAGAATCAGTGTGTTTGGGAAGACGATTAACAGACAACATATACCTGGACTGGGCACCATAATTTCTCATACCGCTTCCCTGTGCCTAAAGTTATCGTGAAACACTGAAACTGCTTACCGATAGCTTGAAATCAAATCGTTTACTCAAGTCATCCATTACAGTACTTATGATAAATGCATTTATCTAAGTGCTTCAAAAGCGTAAAGCGGCTCAAATCGACATTTATATGTAATAACAGATGTGAATGTAGTTTACTTGGTACTAAAATGGCAAAAACACTAAGTGTCCTCAAGTCACAGTGAAACTATGAAGATTATATGGGTGCGTTGTGATACCAATGGCAGTATTCCAAAGCAGCATCAATATGTTAATGATTTTGAATTGGAAAAATATACAATTCCACTCTATATTTGCATTTCAGACTTTTAGTTAACACAAATTGTGAGTGGCCACAGGACCGAACATTCCGCCTTCAATGACCTTCAACGCACCATAGGAACAGTAAAATTAGGAGATTGAAACAGTTCAGATGGTGTATGACGGAATGGAAGAAGCTTTTATTTAACGAGCTTATGCTCCTGGTATAAGTGGATCATCGATGTTTTCAATCAGGAACCTAGGTATATTTAATGAATAAACAAGAAAAATTAGACAATTATTGTGAAATGCTGTGTTTCGACATTAAGGACATATCAAGTTTCTAGTTTATAGACTACAGGAGGTGGTTTGAACCTTTTCAGTCAGTTACATACTTCTCAGTTTAACTGGTCAAAAAGAGTAAATGGGTCTGCAATTCATTCTGCCATTTTGCCTTTAGTTTCTCGGTATTTCCCCTAGGGTTTAGGTTTAGATTGAACTTAAGTAAATATTTTAAGTGATGCATATGGGTGGTTGGAATGCTGTAGGTTTTATAAAATCATCCCTGATACTCCTGTGCCCTAACGGGTGAAGATCCAGCTACTGTTGACACTCTTGATACTGTTCAAACTTTAGTCCTCAAACGGATTTTATGTTTCACCTTTGAATAGTCCATGTCAATGTTAGGTCTTCTTCAAAGAAGAGTTACCTAAATTTTATACATAGTCTGCAGTATGTATTAAGTGAACTGCTCTCATCTTTGTGGTGTTAAAGTTAAGCTGTTGTTATTCTCCTAACTGTGAATATAAGTCGAAATCTCCTGAAGAGATAGGCTATCGACTTGGTAGCAATCTTGTCTCCAATGTTTATCAACATCAGCAAAAAGCTATTACTCAAACGACACCTGTTAAGGGAGGTTATGCAAACGAAAAAGAGACGTGCTGGTAGAACACAAACCCGAGGGTCACCACTAGAACAATCTGCAGCCTGAGAAAAATCAAAGTTATTTATGTAGATGCCTAACGGCTTGCGTTTATTGATGATACATGTATAACTGACCAAATCTAGAGCCTTTAAAAAGTCACTTTATTTTACATTATTCTTCTTTGCGATCGTGGTTTTCCATCTGTTTATCCCAGTAAGTAGGTCGTTTATACAGGGGCATTTGTTCTTAAAGCCCTGTATTTGAGGAGAAAAATGCTAATACACAGTAAATAGTCTTAAAGACGATCATATAGCTAGGATTTCATAACTTTCTCTATGGCCTAAAAGGAGTGCTACTGGCATGGTCTTGAACGTCCACTGAGTTAGTTTCTGTTGAAAATTGGGTTTGTGTGGGCCGGCTACCAAACATTCTGAACGATGTCTTCATTTAACAAATGTAATTATATAAAATCTTAGAACTGGTGGAATAAGTCCAGACAAGATGTGAAGCTTTCTGATGTTTTGCTGGTGCAGTTTTATTTATAATACGGCCTTACTTATGCTAATTATTATGTCAAGAGTGTGAATCCAAAAAAGCTGTTATTTGACAATAAATATATTGTTATGATAAGAAAGTGAATCCACTCACGAACAGCACAGTCGTTACTATGACTTACTAACAACATCTTCAACAGCATAAAGTTCACATTGCAGAAAAAGACAAATTGTAATCTGTGATTTGTGAATCCTTTGGTTATCAGGGACAATACAGGATGACTGAAGACACCTAAATAGCATGAACAAACACAAACAGGAACATAATAAACAACAGCCGAAAAATGAATAATATCACCTGGTTGCTGACTTCCATATTCCGTAAACAACTTTATTGAAAATTGTGCAGCTGTAAGCAAATCCCAAAAATAAAAGGCTCTACAACTCATTAACCTTCGCGTTGTCCTTAATGATTTTAACAGACTCATCCTAGCTAAAAGTACTCGGTCGAACATCTACAGCAGATCACGTTTGACTACACTGTACAGTGCATCTCTTGCTATTACAAGCCGGCGTAGATTGAATTTGCTTTCACTCATAGGTCATTACTCAGTTATATCTTCGCATTCTATTGACTTTTCATTTGACTGATTTTGGAATCATCCTATAATTAGCGTTTTCAAACGAAGTACTTTCAGGCATACAGTTTGAGTGACATCTTCAGATATCAGCCATGCAGACTGCAATTACATTTGCAAATCAAACAAGTGATTCCGACAATTATAGACGGAATATCGAATACTAAGCACATTGCAAATAGGCATTGTACATAAGTGAGCAAAGTCACCAGGATTATTTTTGTTAATTCTAAGACTAAATGATTATGGAAAGTAAGACCAAATCCGTCAGCGAAACAAACGATCCAATCCTGTAGAAAACATCACATCAAATGAATTCTCTGCCTTGTCTGTCGCTATTAACTCATCCACTGATTTAATAGCGAATCCTTGAATTCAGTATTCAAGTTAAGGTTTTACTACCAACCAAATTTACATGAAATTGAAATGTCAACAATTCAAAGCGTTCGCTGACACAGAACAGATTAGTTTCTCACATAAGGAAGTGGTGAAACAAACTAACCGGATATACTGTATTTCTCGTTATTATCGATTCCTCTCAACCCGTATGATAGATATATTTAGTTTCTTACACCTCAAAATTTTGCTTAAGAGCAGAAGCCTCCCTCTTTGCGCTATCTTCTTCAGCAATTTGGTTGAAACTAGGTTGTTGTTAACACTGGACACCTACTTACTTACGCCTGTTATCCCGAGGGAGCATATTCCGCCCAACAGTTTTCTTCAACCAACTCTGTCCTGGGCTTCCCTTTCAAATTCTGTCCAATTTTTGTTCATCCCTCTCATATATTTCTCTATTTCTCGGTGTAATGTGTTCGTTGGCCTCCCTCTTTTCCTTCCACCTTGACGGTTCCATGTGAGGGCTTGTTTCGTGACGCAGATGCGTATAGATATAACTAGAAACCGTATTATATGGCGTTTTGTTTGGCGTTTCTTATACAGTTGGTTTTTTACGAGACGGTGTGGTTAACTACATGTCTGACCCACCTCCTTTATCCTGGTTTGGGACAGATAGCAATTCTTGAAGGGTTCTAGACTGAAGGGAGACTTACAAAGAAACACGCTGTTCACAGAATCGGAGACAGACACGAAAAGAGTGAATAACATTCAGGTGGAACTAGAGAAGTAGGTTCAGAAAGGAGTCAGCTTCATAATCCTTTTTGGTGGTCTATGTTCCACTAAGGGTATTACGCGTAACGAATTAAGCAGGTAACCTTATTATTCACTAGTTAAAATATAATCAGACAATACAACCAGAGTTACAATAAAATGGTAAGTAGTCTTTAAATCTGATTATGTCTGTACGCGGCCATGCCTCAAATGACCTTACTTGGGATTAATGCTGATGATTGATTCATGATTTCAATGTGAAACGAACACCAATTTCCATAACTTTAATTGAAAAAACTAATACTATTAATAGGCTTTCCTTTAGTGAAGATTCCTAGGACTTTTTAAATTACCAAACAAACCGTGTTGCGCCCGTTAAAACAAAGAATCAAGACCTTGACTTGGATTCTCCTAACTCGGCCAACAAAAACAAAGTCTTCAGAGAGGAAAACTAACAAATAGGCACTTGAACAGCTGCTGTTGACCGTTGGCGACAACCTTATCATATTTCGGACCACATTGGGTAGCATTTAATCAAGAGAAAGGGAGCTCACCAGCATCCACAGTTTACAAGATGAACCCTTTTTCAGATAGTGAGGACCAGAGTAGCATCCACTGCTGACCTTGAAACATCATACAGATACCTTTGGAAAGCCAGAACGAATATCCCTCCCGCGTCTTAAAAGATCCAATATTAAATATCTTCTTCACAAGCTAGTGTAAACCAATTGATCCCTTTGTGCTCGATTCTTCTTCTTTTGGTACGGTTCCAGGTGTTCGGTAATGTCCGATGAATGGGGGTCTAACCCCTCGACTGTCTAATTCTAGTCAGTTGGCAGTTGGTTGTGAGTTTGTATGTCTCGGCATTTGAATGAAAACGTTTGTTTCAGTGCAGTAGGGTTTCTGCATACCAGCTGCCATCACATTACCAGACCGGAGATCAGTTAGTTGCAATGTGGAGAGTAATAAGGAAAATAAGGAAAAAATTCTAATGCCGATATGAATAAAATTTCAAAACTAAGTAATATATAGGTGAATTTAGTTTGTTAATTGGTACTGAAGATTGTGAGAGAGTACCGAAGTGTAAGCAAGGGAGAGCAAACAGAGATGATAGGCGAGACAGATCAAGTAAGGGATCTGAAGCGATGGCACTGATAACGACTAGCAGGTCTCAAGTTATGCATCATGAACAGCTTGTACGCCATAATCAGATTACCTCTGATTCTCTTGTGGCTCAGTGGAAATAATCCCAAGTGCTGGAGTCTATCATTGTAACGCTTATTTTTCAACCCCAGTACCCATTCGGTTGCTCGTCTCTGCACTCGATCCGAGAGATTTTTTTCTCTTTAAAGCAGAGGGGTGCGATGACGTTGTAAACCTCGAGGTGTGGGTACAAATCCGTCTTAAATAATTTCAAAAATAATTCTGGGGTAACAGCACCAAGTTGTCTTCACATAAAGTGAAGAGTCGCATTTGCCTTGGCTGCGTCCCCTACATAGTTCGGACTCGTGTGGAAGCTTCCTGTGGTTATTAAAATGCGATTGCTCTCTGAGGAAACATTAAGGAGCGGACTTCCGTTGATGGTGTAGATCGTTTGCGTCGTGTGAGGAAGAATATGCATGACGTGGCCATTTCACACCGCCCATTGCTCAATAGATGTTAGGTCCTTTTGAAGCTCAGACGACACCTCTTCGCTTCTAATGGACCAACAGATCTTCACATCGTCTGCCTAGATCAATGACGGTGAGCTAACTGAGCCTAACAGGTAGCTAATAAATATTAGGAAGAGAAGTGGGCCTAAGATGGTCACCTATGAAACTCCCGAAGTGAACACTCGCTAGCTTGCGTTTACTGTATTTTCGCAACTTTCTATTCTCAAGGTAGCCAAGATACGAGTGGGTCAATGACTCCTATTTCCACAACCTTTCCGATTAGGTGTATGTGGGGTACTGTGTCAAAGGATTTTGCAAAGTCGAGAAACATAACGTGCACCGTTATTTTACGGTCCAAACAGGATGTCCAACTGTCTCATGCAATGGGAAGATTAGATGCAGACGACCTGCCTTTCCGAAACCCGTGTTGAGCTTCATGGAGTATTTTATTCTTATCCATGTACTCCCTCACTTGTTCGTCCACCAGCCATTCAATTACCTTTGATAGTATTGGTAGTAATGCGACTGATCTTTAAGAGGCTGGGTCCTTCCTATCTCCTTCTTTGAAGATTGGAGAGAGAGAGTAGCTTGTTTCCATTCAGCTGGGAATTGGTGTGACTCCAGTGAATGCCTGAACAGGTCACATATCGGTGAACAGAGGACTTCAGCACACTGTTGCAAGACTATGGGGCGGATTTTGTCACAACCTGGTGACTTACCTGGGCGTAAGGATTTTAGTTTCCTTAGTACTAAGTCAGGAGTGATACGGATGTTCCCTAAGCCGTCAGCTGGCAATGGGTTGGCGTAGCACTCTGAACATATGGGCGCCTGGTTTAACTGTTCAGTAAAGTTGATGTTGAAGATCTCGGCAATCTCTAGGTTGGTGAGGTCTTCCCCGTTTGGTCCTTTGAGAGAACTTAACCCTTGACTAGTAGTTTTTCTTTTGGACATGAACCTAAACAGATGCTTCGGGTTTGCCTGTATTTTGGCAGCTAGCTTCATCTTAAATTGTCTCCTATCACTTCGAACTTTGGTATTGCATCCGCTTCTCAATGCCAAGTAAGAACTGCGATCGGAATCCTTCAAGGAGACCTTTCACTTGTGCCAGGCTCTAATCTTCGCCTGTAGCAAGCGTTCAGTGCCACGCCTAACGCAAGTTCTTCTATTACCAGGTGTGTGGTGTGAGTGAGGCACATTGTCTACGACAGTGATTTGGATGATATCTCGCTGTTTGCCAGTGATCATCTACTGTTAGCCTCCAACACTCCCGTGGCCATAAGGCATGTAGGAGGACCCCTCTCATACGCGTATAATTAACCCTAGTGTAGCAAAGACAGGGCTCGTTTTTGTATGTTAAACAAGACTGTGCCATGGTCACTACTACCTACTGGTTTATGAAAGTGAACAACCTCCACCAGTAGCTGGTCATTTGTCCACAGATAATCCATGCTTGAGGACTTTCCCTCTCCTGTCCATCTAGTGGCAGTGCATACGTGCTCAGTCAGCCCAGAGCTTCTAATGGCTGCTCCAAATCGTATTTGGAACTAACCAGTGGGACTTGTACTCCGATTACTGAGATTCAGAGATCAGTAAGCGACTGGAGCTCGGTACTGTTCGCTTCAATCGCTATTAAGTTTTCGACTTAGCTAATGATTCCAGAGAGCCACTGACTCGTGTAAAGGGTTTCAGATTTGATTCGGTGTGAAATGTTTTGATCATATCCTTTTTAATAAAAATGACTGAAATTTGATGACATCATTTTGATACACAGTCGGCTACCCTAAAGTTGCTCAGGTGAGTTGTACTTTGCATAAGCTTACAGAAGGATGAGGCAGAACAGGAAAATCTGTCATTAAGAGGAAGAAATATAATATATAAACTGGGATCTCATCAGGTATTTTTGCCTGAATCGAGACCGTTCATACTTTCAGATTGAATGATATCGGTTGCTTGTGAATCTTGATGCATCACAAATTATTTCCCGTAAGCTCTACGCTAAATAATATGGTTAAAATATTCCTCATTACATATGTCTTACAAGCTAAAACATCGATTCATCATTTAAGTGGAATAACTACTGCTTCTCAAAAGGAAGATATCGGAGACGATTAGTAAGAGGTCAGTTTCATGTGTCGTCTGAATCTTAAGGAACATTTAATTTATCACCATGTTAAAAATTTGCCACATGTTTGCGGTTGGTTTTCTTTCAGTTTGTTTATTCTGGTCGTTACACATTATTTTGAGTTCTTTACTTCCAATCTTTGTATTACTGTGACGGTCAGTGTCCTACTATTTCATCAAACTACTTGGGCATGAAAAGCGTACAAATCGAACCAGCTTTTCCTGAGAATCAACTGCAAGTGGTCACTTCATACCTGTTTAATCCATTTACTTACATATGGGTATATGTTCTTGTACAATGAAAGAACAAGCAAACGGATCTTAACGTTTCTTCAAAAAGCATTGAAATAATACTTCGCCTGCTTTCCCACAAGGTATTGTGAATATTTTCAGGCTTTCAACTTACTGAAATCCGGTATGGTGTAATGCAGACACTGAATTTAAAAAGGTCATAATAGTTAGTGCTCCTAATTCGTCTCTGAATCAAACAACCTTATTAATAAACAAAAATAGTGAACTAAACAATCGAGAGAGAGACAGAATACTTAACGGTCCCAATAGCTTAGTTTAGTTACCATCAGTCAATATATCTCTGTCTTATCCCGTGTAGATTCCTATATACACATTGACTTCAAGAATAACTGTTAAGCGTGTCTAAAAACTGCTACACTGTTACGTTAAATAACTTCAATTCAATCTCCTTGGATGCTGTGTGCTCCTGCTAACTTCTTGTTATACTGCACTAATTTTAGCATTAAGGAACTGCGATTTTATGGTTAGGCGTCTGTTCAGTTATCTGCTTCAATTAAACATACTGGGAATTCATGTACGTTACATTTGAAATCGGTCCTTTTCATATATTCATATGCTTGTTAAAATCACGGTTAATTTTTGAAATAAAGTTGTATGACATTCGTTAAACTTGTGTAACTCGTTAATTTCGTTACAGTTTTCCTGTTTGAAATCCTAAGGAAAAGTTGACTTAATAACCAATTAGTTTTCTTGCATATTAGATGACAGGTTTTAAATTTTTTGTTCTAGAATCTGCGTGCTACGAGTACCTTCTTATTTCTTTCATTTTAGTACAATATGATGCAAACTTAAAGTTATCGCACATTAACTAAACATGATTACCATGATGCATATTAATGAAGAAAATAGTGTTTTAAGGATTGTTCTATAAATAAGGAATATGATTTACGTGCTATATCATTGTTTTCAAATTATCTCAAGTTTTAATTTGTGACGTTATTAATAGCCAATAAATACATGAAGCTCTTAAACAGATTCCGACTAACAAAATTTTCAGACCCACGTTTCTTTTGCTTCTGAGATTTTTTTGTTCTATTTTAAAATTCGTTCATATAATACGATCTGTATTTTTTCGGTTTTAAATAACTTTCCATATTTTGAATTGAACTTAGAATTTTGTCAAATTTACATTATCTGGCTCAATTTTGATAGTGTGTTTGCATTTGTGTTGATAAAAATCACTCATCATCTGCAGTTTTGCTTTTAAAGCCGACTGAAAAACTCGTGTTGCCGTTTTTGAACCCTCTTACAGTAGCCTCAGCAGTGAATAGTTTTTAAAGGAGCAAAGAGATAATAAATATGAATACTCATATAAATTCAAGTTACGGAATTCCAGAATAAGACCACTTTATGTATTACGACTAGGTAAATGGAATAGGTTTAGGTTTTATGAGTTCTAGTTCTAAAGGAGTTTGGAAAGTCCAATCACTGGACACACCGGAGTGTGGTAACATCATTTGTTAGACATGGTCCAGCTACCCGGCTGTATTATATTAGGTGAAATCTTACATAGAGGCGTAAAACATGAAATATATCCTCCTCAAACCATTTGAATGCAAGCACGGGAGCGATTTACCATTAATTAATTTCTAAGCCCTTTCTATGGGACTATCCAATTAATTTGTCTAGATAGACTTGCAGATGAAGTTGAATCCGTCCACTGACTGGTTTAGATCTACTTCCGTTTTGTATTCCGAGTGTTATAGAATTTCTTGAAAAGCCTTCTACTGATCTAGCGAGTCCAAACAATGTAATTAAAATAGACTAGGTGATTCTACATGCTAGGATAGATTATTAAATCTAATTTAAGCCGGTAGTGTTCATCATATTTATCAGTTTAATTATTCAGATCCAAGTTAATTACTTTACCATTTCTTGGCAGACCATTTAACTATGTTATTAACTCTCCTGTTAACTACAGTATATTCAAATATTTTAAATCTATTTCACTCAAAATGGCTTTCTGACTATAAAAAGCTATAATTTGTACGTTGTTGCACGTCCAATTAGTGAAATAGCTATTATCATTGTTAATTCACTCATTCATAAACTCATGTTTCGTATTCTTCACTACACATTTTTGACAATGAGAATAGATATTTAAATGCTGCATAAAAATCCTTAAAATGTTTTATTCCGTTTTTATGAAATCTTTTATTTTCCAATAATGCCTGCGCTCATTAAAACCAATAATTTGTGCTATCAAATAGAAAAATCATGTGCAATCATACTCACTGAACAGGAGACTTTGCATTTCAGGGAGACGAATGTTACTTTCCGGTTTTAGTAAGGATAGCAGTTTGCTTAAATCTTTTAATATGCAAGTAATTAGTTGTGAATGTCAGATTGTTCACAAACATATAAATAATAACAGGTTCAATAAGCTACTGAAAAGCATCAAATAAAAATTCAGTTTACACTTAATATTAACTTGTTTTTAAGGAATAAAGTTATTGATGAGCACAAAGAATATTTTATAATTCGATAATTGATGGGTACTTTAGTTTTAAGCTGAGAAATCTGGTTTCTCGTCGTCGTACACAGTCTCACGTACTTTTCTAGGTTATAAATGTTGTCTGAGGGTCAAAAGCGAGATGATTTAGTCATAAAGAACATGTTTTATGTAATATAGTTTCAAAGTTATCGTCTACAAAAGGTTTAAATGATAATGAACATTTTACGGACATCTGAATCTATATCGTATACTATTATCTTATTTGATTAATGTATTATAGTTTAAGGAAATATGTACATACAATATATCCTAATGAGAGGAACACAGTGCTTTTGCTAAGTTTTTTTAGAAACTGTTTTTCGTTTAGACTAATTCTCAATATAAAACCTTGACTGCTGAATAGTGTGAACATCGTGTATTAAAAACTGGCATTCAAAGTATTACTATTTTTCCGCATTTGTCGTTTAATAAATATTTTCCAATCACTAATGTATTACAATCTGGGAACTGAGCATAAATCCTTCCTGCTGGTCTATGAGGAAGGACAAAAATCCTCTTGTGAAAATCACAAAGAAATCTGTTTGACCTATACAGTTCCTAAAACATTAGCTTCAATCGTATATCGTGGGACACCCGAGTGAGCAACACTGTTATTAGGAAACGGGTACTAGGTAAGAATGGCAGATCAATAGATGAAGTGGTGAAACTTCATCAGTTGAGGTGGTTGGGACATGTGCTGCGTATGCCTAACCACCGACTGCCTCTTCGAGCTTTGTTTTGTAGTGTAGGAGTGGGTTGGAAGAAAGTTAGGGGCGGCCAAACCAAAACATGGCATAAATCCATGAAGTCATTGACGAGTGGACTTAGCCATGTCGGTAATTGTCGACTACCTGGTTGGGGTCCGCGAGATGATAATAATCGATGGTTAGAGACCTTGAATGACATGGCTCAAAATCGTTCGCAATGGCGCTCGTGCATATAATCTTTGTGTTCTCTCAAATCCTAATCTTCTGGGTTCTTCAACACCTCTAGTTTTTACTTTCTAAACTTTTCTCATTGAATCATACTTCGTGAATAATATCTTCTCATCCTAACCTCTCCGATTACTTCTAATACCTTTACTACCTCTTCTACTGTAGGATTAGAATTGACAATTATATCTCTGTGCTGATGTGGTGTGGCAACATGAACTGATGTACTTACGTACGAAGTTCTACGTTGCATCTGACTGACATTAGCTTCAATAATACTTAGTCGCCTAACTGGGACTCGTGAAAAGCAGAATCGAAAAAACCAGGCTTGTTCAGACCTGGAACTGGCTATTTACACTACGTCAGGTCCTAGAACAAAGACACACGTCCAAACGGCCCCACAATAGTAGTATATCTCGACCTTAAGGTGGCATCTATTTATACTGATCGTGAGATTCTTTGGTAATGTTGTCCCTGGTAGAAGTACCAGACGAGTACAGTACCTTAAACAGGATCTCTACTCAGATACTACTGGCCCAGTTAGAGCTCACGGCGAGCTGTCACCTGAACTGATTACTTAAATTGGTGTTCGTCAAGGGTGTTCACTTTCCCCATCCTTATTCCACTTTGTCACAGACATACTATAGAGATAACCCACACCCCGTCTGAATTTTCAGAAGCTGATCTTTACCTAGGGATTTGCTTGTTGACTTAGTTCTAGTTGGTGATTGCGCTGATAAAATGAGGTCTTCTAACCATCTGAAGCAACAGTGTAAGCATGTTCGAGATGCGATTACCCACATCGAAATGCAAAGTGTTGCTTCAAGATTGGCTTTCAAGGACGTCTGAATTCGTAATAGGGAGTGAAGTTTTTAGGCGAGTTGATCGCTTCACTTGTCTCGGGTATCTAATCAGTTCTGATAGCCAGGTGACTGACGAAATTTCAGCACGGATACAGAAGACTTGAGTTTCTCTGGTTAACTTGCATCACTTATGGCGTAGGCGAGATGTCCGGTTGCTAAACACAGAATGAATCTAATGAGCATCAATTCTTTCCGCATTACTCGATGGCTGTGAAACATGGCCGCTAAAAGTACAGGATATTCGCAGGTTACTGGTATACGATCACTTATGTCTTCGAAGCATTTTTCTTATGTCCTGGAACAATCGAGTAAGCAATACAGTTGTTAGGATACGAGTACTAGTTAGTGATGCCAAATCAAGTGGTGAGGTACTAAATTCTCATCAGTTGACAGGGTTGGGGCATGTGGTATGTATGCCCAGTTATCGACTGCCCCGACGAGCGATGTTTTATTGTGTAGAAGTAGGTTGGAATAAAGGTAGGTGGCGGCCAAACCAGAACATGACAGATATCCATGAAGTCACTGACAGTTGAAATGAGTCGTGTTGGTAGATGGAGACTATTCGATTGGGGTCCGCGAGACCATAGTGACCGATGTTTAGAAACTTTGAATAACATAGCTCAATCGCGCAGGTGCTTGCAATCTTTGTGTTCTCTGAAATTCTAATCTTCTGAATTCCTCATGACTAACTTTCTATTTTAAATTAATTCCACTGGACTATACTTCTCGAACCCCAACTGTTAGTGGGACATAGATGGAATTAAAGCATGACTACGTTGCTACGCGCTGATCGGCTAATTTCCTATCCAATCAGCGCCTGATCGATTCTTGGAGAACAGGGTAGAAAATTCTCGTACTGTTAGCTGCATGCTGATTGGCTAAATCTAATCCAGTGGATCACGTGAATTTCTATCCAGAAGCTTCTCATGTAAATGCTATAAATAGACTAACGTTGTATCTATTTTTGGCCTTCGCCTTCGCCATCACCTTTTGCTTCTTATTTCCATTTAACCTTGCTATTTGGAATATAATCTTTTCCTGTTCAACCGTGTTTTTGATTCTTGGGAACCTGTCAAGTGTATTGTGGTCAGAGAATACTAAGCAATAGGATTTAGCCAAGAATTATTCAAGCAAGCGTTACAACACCAACCTTTCCCATTATCGCTAACACTTCTACCGCATCTACCACAATGAGATCTGAATTATCAATTTGATCTCTCTGTGC